GTTTATTCTCTAACATTCAACGCCACCCGGACGTGTGCTCAAGACATGGTGTTAAGGGTGCCGGGGAAGGAAGAATTTGGATTAGGTTGAGCATATAAATATATATAGATATTAAAAGTTAATAATTAATATATCATTTATTTAAACTATTTTCAGTTATTTTTTTTAATAAATTTGTTATTTATCATAACAATCGTAATTTATTGCTTATTGTGCAGCCATAAATTCTAAAAAAAATAACTATTCAAAAAGATGCAATAACGTCCCGAATAAAAACAAAAGGTATATGTAAACTATTTTCAGTTATTTTTTATTAATAAATTTTTTATTTATCATAACAATCATAATTTATTGCTTATTGTGCAGCCATAAATTCTAAAAAAAATAACTGTTCAAAAAGATGCAATAAAGTCCCGAAAACAAAAGGTATATGTAAAATGCTTACCCTATTTAATGCATAGGGTAGCATTTTATATATATATAGATTAAATCGTATTAATAAGCTTGTATTAGAAAAGACAAAAACAACATTTTTTAAGTTAAAATGAGAGTGTTTTGATTTTATTAAAACAATGTAGTTTTGAAACGTTTTCCTCTTAATTTCTTATAGGTCATATTGATAAACATTAGTATTGTAAAAAATGTTAAAATATTTCTTTTAGAAAATTAACTCTAATTTAGATTGATTTAATAAAAATAAAAAATTATATATTCAATTATAAAAGGTAAAAATATACCTTCATGCTAAAAAGAAAACACTTTAAACTTTTACATAAAATATTAAGAAAAATATAAAAGAATACTAAAGAAAACTGTAAATTTAAAGTTATTTAAATAGATAATCAAAGTTTTTTTGTGGGCTTAATAGATGATAAAAGGTAAAAATATACCTTCATGCTAAAAAGAAAACACTTTAAACTTTTACATAAAATATTAAGAAAAATATAAAAGAATACTAAAGAAAATTGTAAATTTAAAGTTATTTAGATAGATAATCAAAGTTTCTTTTTTTGGGCTTAATAGATGAAAAAATGATTAAGAACCCTAATTTTTAATTAATTAATTGACATAAATTCATTTTACTTGAATTATATCCTTAATTTTTGAAAACCTTTTACTTAGATCCTAAATATTTTCTCTACATTTGAAATAGTTCTTGAAATTCATACTATCAAAGCAAAATTTTTAATAAATAAAAGTTAAAGGATCATATTAAATGTTTTTCAAAATCTTAAGGGGGGCGGGGGGCGTCCCTGTATGTATGTTTAGAATTTGAAGAAAGAAATATCTTCTGTTCTTCCAAATGTTACCATTAAACTTTCCATTTGTGTAGATATTTTAGACATCGCATAATAACATGGCAAAAACCCTTCTTAAACCCTTAAATTTACTTTAAAATAACATTTAAACCCTTAAATTAAAAATGAAACAAATAAATCCTCTAACTACATTAATAATGTAAATAAACCTTTCCCATTCATGGATATTGATGTTTGTAAGGTGCTATTAAACTTGAAATACTGTTTGACCCATTTTTGTGAATGGCTTATATGCATCATTAGAAGAATTGGAGGGTTTATCTATTCTGTTTTTAATTTACGAACTTAAATATTATTTTGAGAAACGTTTAAGGGTGTAGGAAGCGTTTTTTCCTAATAAAATTGATGGCCATGTGGCCGTTGGGCGGTTCATGGCATTTTTGCTCCCACACCAGCATTTTTGCTCCCACACCAACATTTTTGCCAGCCTGTCTCTGTCAGGCAAACCCCTGATTTCAATCCCCATCTCTCACGTCATCTTTTCCCTTCCCCTTTTCCTAGCTATCATTATTCAACGAAGAATGAATTTATTCCTGAATTTCCTATCAAATTTCAGAAAAGTAACAATGAAGAGCGTGCGTTCTCTGCTAATCGTGTTCACTGTGACTAACAAGACGTAGAGTTTCTCTAAAATTGGTTTTTTTTTTTTTTT